GACATAGGTTTAATTGGGAGATAGGGGTAGAGGTGGTAGGGTGATGGTTAATGGTTAATGGTTAAAATAAATGTGCTAGACATCTAAGGTCATATAGCACCATAGGAAGGTATAGTAAAGGGGGATGTCAGGTGATAGTTGCTATGTGTCAACTATCTAGAGTAGTGTTGAAAGGTTGAAGATGGGGGAAAGGTTATGGTGGTTTAGGTAAGGGAGTTAGATCAAGTGAAGGATATTTATGCGTCTGAGGAAGGAGAACAGGTCGTCAAGGCAGAAGTTGTGGGATTCTGTAAGGATGTCTGATATGTTGGGAGGTCGGTGAAGGGAGGATAGGTGTGGAAAAGAAGAGGTACGTGCTGTATTAAACCGTGGACAGGACAAGAGAATGTGTGGAACTGAAAGAGGGACGTTACCTAGAGGACATGGGGGCGGGTCTGAGCGTGACATTAGATAGGCGAGTGTGACCAATACATAAGCGTGCGAGGGCCGTCTCCCAGGGTCTGTTTTTGTGAAATGGAGCTGACCAAGAGGAGATTGAAGGTTTTACTGAATGTAATTTATTGTTGTGGAGGTTTGACCAAAAAGATTGCCATCGAGAATACAAGAAGGTTTTAAAGTGGGGGTTATAATCCGTAGCTGGAATATGTAAGAAGCGTAGTTGAGGTGATGTGGACATTGCGGTATAGCGTGCAAGAGTATCTGCCTGTTCATTGCCTGGGATTCCAACATGGCTGGGTACCCAGCAAAATCTGACAGATTTATGACGTGTGGATAGATAGAACAACCAGTTCTGGATCTTACAGACAAGGCGATTGGTCGAGTGTATAGACTTTATGAGGGTTAAAGAGTCAGTAAAAATAGTATAAGAGGAAGAGGGGGCTGAGTATATGCGTCTTAAGGCAAAAAGGAGTGCATACAGTTCTGTAGTAAGGACACTAGATTCAGGAGGGAGGGTGTATTTGAAAGTGCAGTTTGGGAATGTTACTGCGAATCCAGCTCCTGAGGTGGATTTGGAACCGTCAGTGTAAACATGAATGCTGGAGGAATGAATGGAGACATGGTCAAGGAAATGAGTGAGAAGGATAGAGGGGGGAATATTTGATTTTGGTGAGTCAGGGAAAACTGAGGAGCAAATACAGGGGTTAGGTATAAGCCATGGAGGAATGGAATGGACAGAAAGTGGGAGAGGTCGGAGGTGAGGAAAAGGGGGAATGGGAGAGGAGGGTATCCATGCGTACGGAGAGAGGAGTTGGTAAACGTGGAGAAGAGGTAAAGGTATGAAGCAAGGATTGTGGAATAGTTACTTTGGTAAGGGAAAATTGGTGAAATCGAGCATAGCATCGAAGAGAGAGAAGTGCTCGACGTCGAGAGAGGGACGGCATGCCAGATTCAGTATATAGGCTCTCAACTGGAGAAGAGCGGAAGGCGCCTAGGGGTAAGCGGAGACCGCTGTGGTGGATTGTATCAAGGTGAGCAAGAAGAGAGATTGAGGCAGAGGAGTAGATATGGCATCCATAATCTAGAGTGGAGAGAATCAAGGTAACATGAAGATGGAGGAGAGTTTTGCGATCTGAGAGCCCCAGGAGATATGTGAAAGAGTTTGTAAGATTCGGAGGCGACGTTGAGCTTTTTCTTTGATGTACAAGATATGGTCTCGCCAGGACAATTTGGAATCAAATATAACGCCTAGGAATTTGCCAGAAGAACGGTATTGGAGTGGAGCGTTATATAAGAAGAGTGGGGGTTTGGGGACCGTACGTGAGCGAGAGAAATGGATAGGGAAAGATTTAGAGGTAGAGAAGCGAAAGCCATGGTTGGTGGCCCAAGAAGTTAATGTTATTGCAGACTGAAGGAATTGACAGAGATCTGGTATGGATGCGCCAGATGCATAGATGGTTAAGTCATCAACATATAGTGATGCCCGGGCTCCTGGTGGTAGGACTGAAGCTATGTCATTTACAGCAAGAAGGAATAAAGTGGTACTAAGCACACTTCCTTGTGGGACGCCTTCGAATTGAGGAATGGATGATGACGTGGAAGAGGCAATTTTGACCTGGAAGGTACGTTTAGAAAGGAAGGATATGATGAAAACGCCCATGTTTCCACGTAAACCTAAGGAGGACAATTGTTGGAGGATCTGGTATCGCCATGTGGTGTCATATGCTTTTTCTAGATCAAAGAATATGGCTAATACGGATTCATGGCGTGCAAATGCCGATGTAATATATGTCTCGAAATGGGCAAGTGGGTCTGTACTTCGGGCACGTCGGAAACCAAACTGGGAAGGAGAAAGGAGATTATGAGATTCAACACATTAAGCGGAAGTTAGCCATTCGTTCTCGTAGTTTGCACAAGCAGCTAGTTAGAGCCATGGGGCGGTAATCTTGGGGTAGGGTACCTGATTTATTGGGTTTTAAAAAAGGTAGGATAAGAGCATCTCGCCAATGAGAAGGAAAATTTCCTGACGTCCATATGTGGTTGAAAATAGTTAAAAGAAAGGATAGAGAAGGAAATGGGAGGTGCCGGAGCATACGATAGTAATGCAGCGTTGAGTTCAGAAGAAAAAGCAGCATTATAGACTCATCAGAGGATAGGGTGAAGGTAATAGGGATGCGTTCTTTGATGGCTTTAATGGAAGGAAAGTGTGGAGAAAGGTGAGAGCCATTACTGACCTGGCTGAAATAGTTGCCCAGTTCATTAGCTACTTCGACAGGCTCAGAGATGAGAATATCTCGAATATGGAGGACGGGTGGAGCATGGGGGGTGTTTGCCTGATAATTTTTGGATCCGTCGCCAAACAGCTGAAATAGATGTAGAAGATGTAATTGATGAAACATAATTTTGCCAGCTATTTGTTTTGCTGTTTCTAATTGTACGGCGAAGATGGGCAGATGCCCTTTTAAAGGAAATAAGGGCTTGTAGCTGGTGAGGGGTGCCTCGTTTGTAGCGATAGCCGTTCCAGGCTGCTCGTTTTAAGCGAAGCGCTTTGATGCAATCAGAATTCCACCATGGAACACATTGAGAGGTATAAGGTCTTGAAGTTTGAGGAATGGCTGTATAAGCAGCTCTTAGGATCGTGGTTGAAAACATTGTAGCATATCTGAAATGGACGGTAAGGGGGATGGAGGGATAGGTATAGTAGAGAGTGAAGTGAAAGTATGCCAGTCAGCTCTATCAAAGCACCAGCGTAGGGGATTAGGGAGTGGTACATATGAAGGAGAAAGTTGTACTGGGAAGTGGTCACTATAGGGGAAGTCGTCTAGAACTGACAAATGGAAATCTAAATGTAGAGTAGGGGAGCATAGAGGTCAAGGCATGAAAAGGATTGCGTGCGCATGTCAAAGTTGGGGGGCGATCTGAATTAAGAATAATTAGGTTATTTGTGAAGAGAAAGCGTTCTAGAGATCAGCCTCGAGAGTTGGTGGTAGAATCACCCCACAGAGTGTGGCGGCAGTTGAAATCACCAACTACGAGGAAAGGTGGTTGTAGTTGGGAAATTAGAGTTTCAAAGGCAACAAAGTCAATGGGATGGGATAGGGAGAAATAGACTGAAATCACTGTGATCCAGCGAAGAAAGATGCGAATAGCTGTGCACGGGACAGTAGTTTGTATGGGAGGTATGACATAAGGTGTTTTATGATGGATAAGTATAGACAAGACACACAACCACACACACAACACACACACACACACACACACACACACACACACACACACACATACACATACACATACACATACACACACACACACACACACACACACACACACACACACACACACACACACACACACACACACACACACACACACACACACACACACACACACACACACACACACACACACACACACACACACACACACACACACACACACACACACACACACACACACACACACACACACACACACACACACACACACACACACACACACACACACACACACACATACACATATACACATACTGTATATATGTATGTAAAGCTGCACTGTACCCAACTAGTGTAGCGTTAAAGTTCCTACTGTCATTTCTGCATCCAATGGGATTCTTGACCTAATGCAGTTAATTTACTGACCTCTGTAGCATCAGACACTGCCATAGTGTAGGTGGGTATTAGTCAATTCATAAAATCAGATTTATAATAATTCAAAACATATATTCATATTTCTGTACAGCTGTTTTACAAAGAGAGCTGTGCAAACAACGTTAAAAATACCATCTGACTCCTTTATGAAAAAGCTAACATAATGTACAGAATAATATGTAAACAGTAAAGTTATTTTTGAGCTAACTCACCAAATTACCCTGAAACATTAGCTCTTCTTAAAAATATACTTCAAAAGAAATGAAACTTTTAAAAATGATATAACCATAGCAATGGTATACATAAAAAATAAATTAATGAACAAAAGATTTCCATTAAGAACCCAGTTCCATGAATATCTTCAACCTGCCTATGTAGATATGCAATTATATTATCTTAATCATCAATGAAGTACTCCTATTATATTTGCTGTGCAGACGTAGATATTATACCTACCAACTGCATTATGAAAACTAGTCAAAAAAAAGATCAATAATGGATATAGCAAGGCATGCTAAGTTCTTATTTTCTGTTAATAGACAATGTAAACAAAGAAAAATAAATGAAGGATACACTATGAAAGTCTTTGGTTGTATCTGGTACTCTAAATGCTGCCATATGCTTATTCTGTAATAAGAGGATAATGAACTTTTAACACTGTATACTACCAACTATACATACTCATCCCTCAAGTTATGTTGCAAATGACTGACCGTAAAAAAATATATAAATGCAAATACATTAGCAAAAAGTAGATTTTACACACAAATAGGTATCTACAAAAAATAAATGTAAATTGTGCAATTAAGAGAGTATTGTCCAAAATAAAATAACTAAATTAATCACCATTTGTGACAAGAACACAACAAATATCAACTAATTTGGTCTTTAAAGAATTCTGACTTTAGATTCAGTTTTTGTTTCTTTTATTTCTCAAATTATCAAACATTTCAAGATGAGAATTCAAAGAATTATTAAGGACAACAATGCTTCATGATAATGTTAAAATCACTGTATTGTCAGTATTAACCCAATGCTGACGAGAAAATGTAGTATTCCCTTTAGTGAACACTACATTTAGATGGATCCATAAATCCTTAGCCACCAAAGAATCAATTAATAGACTTTATGGGCTCACCTGCTTTCACCTTTTTTTTTTTTTTCTTACTAATTGCAACAATATCGATGTAGATATTATTATAGACACCATAAACATTATATTATTAACATTATTAATAGCAATATAAGATAACTAAGAATATTTCTTAATATCAAGGAAAAAGGCAAACAGGCGAGATAGATAGTATTAGTAAATGAATCCTTGGTAACTTAGTACTTGTGGAGCCATCAAAGTGTAAAGGCATTTAATAAACATACCTCACAATGGGTATAGCGTGTATCCTGGCAGCACTAGGTTACAAACAGAGACCAAGATGTTTCATTAAAAATATATAATGACCAAGACTAAAAATGAAACCATAAACCTTATTTTGGTTATCTTTTTTTTTCTTTCTTTTTTTTTTTGATAGACTTAAGATAGTGCCTTACATTGACTCAAAAATACTATACTCACAAATGCCGTCTTACTTGACACCTGCACATAATCAAGTACTTAACATAGAGCACAAATTTCTCTTCAGTATATGAATATACACCGTAAAATGAGTATTATCAAAATTATTTACAATTTCTTAAAGACAAACTTTGAAACTTACCTAACACTAATTATCTCAAGATAGTCAATATACCCTCATATCATTTGTTTTATGAACGAAAATTAGCCAAAAAGAAAAAAAGTTCTAAAACAACTGTCTTTCCCTGCACTTCCACAAAAGAAAGCTACATAACTCAGGACACAGACAATTTGGTTTCTAACAAACATTCTCAGTTAACATCTGCTGGGCTCTCTCTGTGCATAGGATGCAGATGAAACTCCATTCATGATAAATATGTATATCATAAAACATGACTCACAGTTCAAATTAAGCCTAAAAAACTAGCTTCACATGACTCACAGTTATCTGTACAACAGAATTTGTGTTTTTTTTTTTTCTTTTCTTTCTTTCTTTTTTTTGAGTCTTTGCATTTACCTTAAAGAAAAAAGAAAACATCATATACTCTCCCTTTAATTTGTTCTCTGAACCAAATATTCAGATCAGTTACAAGATTCAGGTAGAGCTATTCAGTACTCTTATAATTCTTCTTGTCTTACACTAAGCATGTCATAACTGACTTATTCAGTCTTTTTTACATGCAGAAAACACTGTCGCAGCACCTTAGGTAATTTATACAATACATGCTTACTTTGTCTTTTTGTTTATAATGTACTTGCTTCTTTCTCTTTTTTTTTCTTTTTCTTTTTTTCACTATACATTTTTTACCACCAAAAATATACTTACATATTCCATCCTTCCCATGAAGACAATTTCCAAAAACAACCACAGATTACACAAGTGTAAAGGAGTACACAGAGATGCTCTTTGGTTTGTAAGAATGACCTTCAAAGGCTCCCAACACCACACAGACCCAAAGTTTGCTAATGCCAATATACAATGTCTTGTAACACTGCTGTGCTAATAACATCTTCTGGAGGACTCTGGATATTTTTCCTTCAGCTCTCCTTTGAACTGTCTGAAGAGGATGCGGTTCTTTTCTTGCTCCATGTCCTTTGAACTGTGAAAGCCGCTCGAAGTCTTGAAACCTTCGTGTACGACAAACGCAGAGTCCAGCACCACAAAGCGATACCCAGCCACATGCAGTTCACACACCTACCCATGTGAGATATGAGAAACAACAGGTTACTGACCCATTTATAACACAAATTACATTAGATCCTGAGCCATTTCCAAAACAAGTTCCAAAACAAGTGGCTAATAAATCACTACTTCAATAGTACGAAAAAAGCAATCAAATGGTTTTAATGAAGAGTTAAATACTTATACCTTATAAAATTAATCAAAACATCCAGTTAAAATATATGTTTAGAGAAACTTATTGATACCTAAAGAACAATAGCAAACACTATTCCAAGCCTGATTATTCAATCCTTAATAACCATATTACATATTCATACTGGATCTACTTACCCAAAACCCACACTGAAAGAAAGGACACTACAGCCAAACTTCATTGACAACTATACCTCTCACTTGTTCATTCAAATCTACCATTTATTTATTTTATAAAGTAACTCAGAACTACTTGACACCATCCCACTTAGCATGATTAACCCAATAATGCCAAGAGTCCAATGCCATACCTGACAAAGCATTGGGGTGCAAGCAGAGTAAATTGCTCGAAAGAAAAATGTTGTGTGGGAAATATAGTAACCCTCAATGCCTTTGGCTGTTACACTTAGAATCTTTTAGGTAATGAGGCTAAATTGTAGCTTTCAACCTACTCTTGAGGGGTTATTTTATCTCAGTGAGTGCAGTCAGGACCAAACAAGTGCACAAAACAATGCATAGCACGCAAAACTCTCAACCATACATAACACAAAGACATCATCTGTAGGATGATGTAACACAATGTCTCCCAGTGTCTCCTGATGTCATGAGTTAATAACAAATAATAATTTGGCCTTTACATTATCTGCCATCAGATCAATACCCAAACAAATAAACAACATGATTTTAGCTTTGAAACCAACTAGAAAATGTGTTAATTGAACAGAAACCACTCATGATAACTAAAGTCCAATTGCATCATAGCAAATATTACCAGACACTGGGTGATGACTCATCACATCATGATTTCATGTCCCAATAACCAGGATGTCTCATACGTCCAACCACAAACTAGACAGCTGCCCAGACGCAGAGCAGCACAAACTAATAGACACCTGCCTTTGTCAGACCACAAAAAATTTTACCTAGCATTATCGGGTCAAACACCATATAGCCACTGAGAAAATTTTGCAGCTACTTATGTACCAATAAACATTATGAGTGTTTTGATAATTTCTCTGCCCTTGTTGCTGCCTCTATAATACAGTCATGCGATCTTCATGTGCAGAAAAAAGTACTATATGGCAACACCTTATTAGGCAATAGTCTAAAATCATAAAATGTTATGAACACTCAAGTGCTTTACACAAACAATGGAATGTATGTTCTACAAGCTTCCCCAGCTCCATCAAATATTCTTTAGGTCTCTATACCGCCAGAACCTCAACTTAAAAGTTTCACTTCAACACGAATCTGACTCACAAATGTAAGCCAATCCTCCTTCCCTTCATCTCAAAACATTAAAAGCGTCTCTAGATTTATCAGGTATTCTATCACTTAAAAAGGTTTCAAAAGAGACTGCTTGCTAAAGGTTTTCCAAAGAGTGTGACCATCAAGCAGCAACCTTGTGCAAAGCCTCTTCTTACTCCATGCTTCTAAATCACTGGGTTAATGTATATCCAGTCACATCCTTTCTAGTTTCCTTTCAATTTTAAATATCAACAGGCAGTACTACCAACAACCAATACTTCACATATCATTTTCAATGAGGTTTCTTTAACTTCATTTATTTGCATACAATACAGTTTATATATTTTTTAAAGTCGTCAAATAATCTCCAAATAACAACCAAAGAATGTTTCTCATATGGGCAACAGCTAAAGAACTCACCTGACT